AAAAAAAAAAAAAAAGAAGCCCAGACTCCACCTTTGCACTGAAGGGATTGGTTATGCAAATATGGAAGGGGTTTCCTGGCAAATACAGCTTTCTACTGTATGGTTAATTAAATCATCACTCAAAAGCCTTCCAATGTGACGCTTCTGTCGTAATCCAATCAGGTTACGTAGGTCCTAAACAAGAAAGATATTTTCCACATCTGGAAGTCAGCAATTTAGCAAGTACTGCACATTATTAACCAATTCAGAGCCCTCTTCCCAGGGGGATAGTTTTTTCTTTTTTTTTGAAGTTTAAGTGTTCTTAACCAACGCTCTGCCGGTTTGTTAATCAAAAAGCCGGTTTACACCGCACGTAATCGAGAAGTAACATCGAAGTAAGTAAAGGCAGAGCGAGCCGGGGATGCTGAGCGAAGGCGTTCGGCTGCAAAGGGGGCAGATCCGGCTGAGGCTCCAGCCGCTCATGCCCAGCTCCCAGCACAGCCCACAGCCGCTCCTTCCTCCTGAAGGAGCTCGAAATAATCTCACTGCAAAGAGAAACTTCGCGTCTTGCCCACTCGCACGGTCCTGTCCCAAGGTAAACGTGGGGCTGCGCAAAGAACTGCGGAACAATTTCCTTGCTCTGACAAGAGTTCAGCCTATTCCAGCACTTTATTTTATTTTTTTTTCCTTCTCCCCCTCCCGAAGAAAACCGAAACAAATGGCACACTGATCCCACACTGCACTTTTACTCACATTAAGCTTAGATAAACTGTTCTTGAACTGTGCATTGAACGTGTGCCTAAAGCCAGAAGTGGAGGGCGAGCAATAGCGATGGGATCGCGCTCCAAAATGGTCCCGCTCAGGGAACACCTTCCCGAGGTTCAGCATCGCAGAGGAAGGAAGGGACCCCCTCGCCCCCCCGCAGGATGTCTTTGCAGCTCATCAGAGCCACCGAGACCTGCCTGGGTTGTTTTTTTTTTTTTTTTTTGGTCATCTCTGAGTTAGACGGGAGTGGGTGCCCCTGTGAGATGCGGAGGATGCAGCGCACGGGGGGGCTCCGGGTAGGGACATCCAAATGTGGTCCCGGGCTGGGAAGTGGCACCTCGGGTGTCCCCATCCTCAACCCCGAGCTGCAGGCGGGCTGGGAGGGAGAGGCAGCCTCTGGCCGTCTGCTGCCGCTGCAATCCCCGGCTAGGCAAAGGTGGGAACGAGCTGCCCTAATATTTTAAATTATTATTTGTATTTATATTTCTTATTTTTATTGATATTTCTATTTTTGTTCCCTGCTACGAGTCATCGTGGCTTTGTTAAAAGTTTTCTTGCCACTATTCTCTAAACGCCAGCGTGATTTTCCTGCAGGATGCATGACTTCTCCATGCCTAAATGTACCTGGATACACAGAGACATATCACACACATACACACACACACAGAATGATGATATCTTAATGAAATATATAGCACAGCGCAAATATCCTGAAATCAGATTCAAGTATTATTAGTTTGAATTAGATCCTCTCAGATCCAGAAGGCACTGCCTATAAATCAAGGGCAGTCTGGCAATTCCTTAAAGAGCTAAACTGAATTTAGATGCATATGATAAAAAGAAAGGAAAAGAAAAAAGTGAATGCTAATTACTGACTTGCTCAATTTCCACTCACCCACGTTTTCTAGGAGAAAAAGGAGAAAACCTAAAAACCAACCAACAAGTTCTCGAAATAAATTAATCCCATTTCAAACTCCTTACATATTGTTCCTACATTTCCAGATTACAAAACGAGGGGATGAACTGGAGATTACAAGGCTGCAGCCTGGCTCGCAATAGGCAGCAGTGCTGTCGATGGTGTATCAATAAAATATATTTATCTGCAGCCACGCTGAAAAACAAACCCTCAGAGCGTGTGATGATGCTCAAGGGCTTAAGAAACATGTTGGCATTGTCAGATAATCCCTATTCATAATTTTGCTGGCTGTTCTTTCAGCCCTCAATCTCACAGTTTCCCCAGCTCTGATGTGCCTCAGCAGGGTTTGCATCGGAGCGATAAAACTACTCGGATCTTCACAGGACTGACATAGCACCCAACATTATTCGATGTTATTTTAATGTGAGAGGTGGGGGGGTGTGTGTTGTTTGTTTTGGGTTTTTTTTTAATTATTTTTAATTTTTGGACACTGGATGTAAACATTTAACAATCAGCTAAGCCCTTCTGAGATGGAATTTAACCTTAATCCAGGCGATGATTTCCTGCCCGGCTCTGAACTAATAACGGGTGTGCAGCTTCTTTAGGAGATGGAAATAATGACAGGCTATAGATCCTGCCTTTATTGGGGTGGTGCTGGCAGCCCGGATCCCAGTCCCTGCTCCATCAGCATCCCCAGGCAGATTCTATTCCCTGCTTTATTTTAAAACTTTTGCACATCCTCTCCCCCCCCCCCCCCCCCCCCCCCCACTAGTTTAAAAGCAAGCAGAGCCAAAATATCTTCACAAACCCCAGCTCCTTCCTTGTATATAGCTCCCAGCACTGTGGCTTGGAGATGGTTTTAAGGGCAGTTCTCTAAGTGCAGTTTCTCCTATTTTCCTCAGGTTTTCCTACATTGAAATGCCCCAAGTTGAGATGAGGGTGGCCTGATCCTGATGCAAACCTGCCTGGATAAATCCACAGGAGAAGCTGTCTTGCCTTCAGTTCCTTAGTGGGTTTCCTTTGCCCACCAAAACATATCTTGATGAAGACAAGCCCCTTGGAGATAAGCCCATGTTCCCATCACTGTGTGGATCTGTAGGGCCAGCCAGGGGCAAACCCTGCTGCCAGGGACAAACCCTACCATGAGAAAGAGGTTGTGCAGGGAGAGATTTCCTTGTGATCCCCAGGCACCCAGCTCTGATCGAGAGGGGAGCTGGCCAGCCACCATGGAGAGCTTTGGGGCACAGCCCTGGAGGACCTGAGCCTTCTGCTGAGACCTTCTGCCATGGTGGCTTTATGGGCTGAGGGGATGATTCACTGCCTTATTTGTTTTGGTGTGTTTACTTCTTCCCTGGTGGAGGATGAGTAACAGAACTGTGTTTTCTTGCCCACCACGTGGAAGGAGGAAAACTGAGGGAACAGGAGCAAAGATGTTCTGGCTGATGAGTTTTGACTAATACATTTTAAAGGCTGGTGAAGACAGAGGTATAACACCTCTAAATACACTTTAGTTGCTCTGAGGCTTTTCTTTCATGCCTTTTGTAGCCAGAACTCTCGACTATTTTCCCTAAAGTGTGGATTCCTTCCTACATCAGGGATTAAACATCCCCATGTAGGGGACCCAAATGAGATGTGCCCACTTGCAGCCAAGCCTGGGGAGAGCATCCTTCCCTCCCCACAGCCCTGCTCCGCTGAGGGAGCTGCTCCTGCAAGATTTGGGATCCCTGTGGGTTCTGGCTGCTTCTCATGCTCCTATCTCTGGGGTGTAGAAAATGTCCTTGCCTTGAGAAAGGATTCTGAGGTTGCAAAAAACCCCCAAATCAAACAAAAAAAGATGGCAGGGGGATTATTTTCTGCAGTCACCTGTGGCAGTAGAGGATAAGGCAGGCTGGAATAATTTTTGTGAGCCATGTGGACCCAAGATGCCTCTGGATAGTTTTGCTGAATACAGGTGTCCTTATAAACCAAGGTTTAGAAAGCAAAGCCTTTATTTTTTTTTCCAATTTCCACATGGAGGAGAGGGCACAGAGGAGAGGAAGAAAGGGTCAGGGAATGATTCTCCCCCCACCCGCTGATGAGGTATTTGGGAAGAAACCTTTTGAATCAACATTCCCAAAGTTTTCGAGTTCCTCTGCGGAAAACCCATGTAGGGATAGGATACGAGCCAAAAGCAAGGGAAAAGATTGTCTGGCTTTAATTTATCTATCCCTGGGCATTTCTAACCAGCAGATCACTGTAATATTTGATCTTGTGTGAGTCCCTGAACATTAAAAGTGAATCTCCTCATATGTTTTTTTTAAATTTTGTCATTTATAAAGCCACTTCTGATGGCCTAGAGCTGCTCAGCTGCCGTTCACAGCATCTGTCTGTGTGTCT